TTAGAAGCATTAGGTGTTAGCTGCAGCCAAAGCTGATTTTGACAGAGGTGTGCCAATGCACGTGACCTGATCAGCAGGAGCAAAGATTTAGGGCTTAGGTTTGTTCTCTAGGCTTCTAATCATGGTCATGATTTGTTTACTAAGGCAGTATTTTCCCGTTGTGGGTCATGACCCACAGGTTGAATTGCAAGAATATATATGACAGGGTCATGAACAAACTTTAAAAATGGATCAGCAAACTTTAAAAATGGATTCTCCTTTAAAGGAGAAAAACATGGGAAACTCTGGCTTTTCCCTTGCAAGCTGGCAGAGTTCCTACCTGCAAGGGGCTGCTTGGAGCCCCCCCATGACCCAGCCCCCATCCCACACACTGGGACCTGTGAGCTGGGGCCTGTGAGTAGAAGGCAGCAGGTCAGAATTGAGGGGCATTCGAGTCGGGACTGGCCATCGATGTTTATGAATGGGTCCTGCTACAAAAAAGGCTGAGAACCACTGTACTAGGGTGCCTGTAGACATAGGGACACTGCTCCAACACGCTGTAACTACAGTGAGTCAGAACAGACTCAATCAAGTCTTCTGGAGTATGCTAATTGGCATGCTGCAGCAGCTGGCATGTCTCATGTACTCAGTGTCCCTGCACCTCAAAATGGCAGCGAGAACACTTTAAAGCTTGTTGAATGAGCTTTAATTAAAGTGCCCCCACTGCCATTTTGAAGCATGGGATGCTGAATACACGAGACGCGGCAAGTGCTTCAATCAGACCAACTCTTGAAGCTGCTCTAACTCCCTCTTCCGGAGCACATATAAAGATGCTCCTAGATTCGATTTCTTTCCAGCACAATCCACCAACAGCTGTCATCTACTTTAGCTACTCCATCTGAACAGTTCATCTTTACAAAGACTGCGAATCATTTTAAACTGTTTTCCCTTCTGGGTCACGCAGTCCCTTTAAAGGCAGATTATAGAAGAAAAATAATGGACTTGCCTAGTTGATGCAACAGAGCATGGTTTCAAATCATGGCCTAGTCAACTATACCACAATGCCATCTAGAGAGATTGATGACTCGGTTTTTTTTAATATAGTAACTTTGAGAAAAAGAGGTAGAGATTATAATGCCTGTTTTATGTATGTGGAAGCCAGTGGGTTTTTGGTGGTTGAACAGCAGGCTGCTGTCAGCCAGTCTCCCAGTCTTTTTCTTACTTCGGTTCTAGAGCAACTTTGCATACAGCTAAATAAGTGCAAGTGACTTCGTTCTCCATATTGTTCTCTCGAGTGTCAGAATAAGTTTAACCCACTAAATCCCAGATTTCTGTATTATGTATACCGAGCAATTCCTGTCTCTGCTGCATAATTCTGGTGTAGAGTCTAGTAAGTCATGTAACCTGTCATGAATATCCCTATTACCAAATCCCTTAAAGTGTCTCTTCATTCAAGGGGTTCAGAATTTGAGTTTACTGTATAGCTTCATAAAGCCTACATGTGTGGCATGTGGCCTGTATCTTAACAACTCATTCTGAATATGCATGTACAAAGGACATGCAAAGATGATTTTCAAAGGCTTGCAACTTGGTCAAATTGAAATATTTTCACCAAAATACTGAAAAGCACCGCTCCAACTTTAGGATTTCTCCATCAGACTTTATCTTTTTCCTTTTGGCATATCAGTAATAGTGCTGTCTAAAAAGAAGTATTGGCTTTAAAGTTACGTACTTTTTTTTAATGTAACCTTCCTATTTTTAAGCTATTAAGGCAGGGAAAAAACTACTTGAAATGTCTTTTTTTTACCATTTCATGCAGTTTCAAATTTGAGAACATTTTTTCCCCTTCTAAACATAATCAAAAATGTGTTCATTTCTTGTGTTTGAGTTTTTTAGGAGGATGAAGATCAGTTTTTTAAGGAAGCTCTGGTTGCAGGATTAAATATGGAGAGCTAACTCCTCTATATGCAATTTCCATAGTTGTGCTGTTATGAAACATCTTTGGTCTGAGAAGTGTTAATTCTGTATTTTGACTCTCCTAAATAATACTCCTGATTTTCTTTCAGCATCTCTTGAGCGCCTCGTTTCCTGTTCCCCTCTCCCAGTAAAAGGTTAATAATTAACATTATTAAAATGTGTAATATTGAAACAAAACAAGAAATGTTTCCACAGTGATGGTAGAAAACTTTTTTCCCCACTTATTTAAAGAGAAATAATTTACGAGCGTTTAAGAGGACATATTTGTAAGGTTCTCAGCTCTGATTTTGCACTGTAATGAAGGGGCTAGATTTTCAAACAATAGGTGTTGAACACTTAAGAAAACTGGAATAATTTGCTTAGGTGCTCAATTGAAAGCCACTGAATACTGATTTTTATTTTTTTTTTATTTTTTTTAACTGAATATGAACATGTTGATGGAGCATGGAAAACTAGAAACCATTTGTATCCTTCTCATCTGGGAGTAATAGAAATTGATGTTTATAAGACATTTCATATATCTTGATATTTATATCCTAGCCAGAGAGGTTAGTACCATTTTGTACTTCAGCTGAGGAAAGATTATTTTGCAGAAGAAGAAGCTTTATGCCAAAATAGTGTTGGTTTTTTATGTGGGAATGCAAGTCTTGTATCAAGTAAATGTTGTTTCAAAGCATTAAACTATTCAGGAAACTGTTATTGTGTTTTTTTTGACAGATGGCGGAGTTTGACACCAGTTGGACAGCCCATACCAGGAACTAGATTTATTGCATTCAAAGTGCCTTTAAAAGGGGTATGTCTAAAAATGCTGTTTCAGTAAATCTGTACCAGTAGCAGTAGAAGGAATGATGGAAAATAACATTGTCATACAAACTGCAGACTAGACCTGAAATAAAGATCAGTTAAATTCTTTTGCATTAAAATTATTTATTATGTTATCCTTTACTAGCAGGCTTCCCATATAATATTCCATAAGCCCATAATTCCTTTTTTACAGAATTAATACTGATATTTCAATACACTTATCATCTTATAAATCGTATCCATCTCTCTAGCCAATTGGCACTGCTCACTTCAAATATTAATTCATTGATTACAGTGTTTCTGAAATATATCAGTTAAGTCTCAAGCCAGTTTCATCTTTGTTATTTCCTGAAACTGCTGTAAAAAGATTCCTAAGTCTGGTGGTTTTTATAATTAAGTAACTGTCTACTTGACAGAAAAGCCCAACATTAATTTAGCATGAATTATAGATTAAGGCCCCTTTTGAAAAGGTACATACAGATGTATGTCTCTGTCTCACCTGTTACTGATTTCATAGGTCTGGGAAAAAGTATTCTATTAAAAAAAAAGTTTGCCTAACTGGCCTCTAATCAGGTTTGATGCCTTCATTGGATTCTAACAAGTATACATTTCCATTTTAATCTTGTGCCTTTAAAAACTTGAGGGTAGAGGCAGTCATTGATCTAGATTTGATACATGGTGGATATATTAAAGAATTTGCATATTTGACAACACTTTTTTAACCTTCACTTAAAGCCTGATAAAACAGTGCTTCAATTATGCAGGGGAAGAAAGCTTATGGTGTTTGGGTTCAGGGTTTTTTTGGGGTTGTTTTTCTTTTTGGGGGGGGTTAACTGTCCTTTTCATATATGAGCTTAACAGCTCTATAAAACTAGATATCTTTCTTCCATTGTTTGTCCACACATATATTCCACTCCAGTTATGCATGTGCTCCATGTGTAGAAAATTGACTTCTTTTTGTATTGCAGTGTGCAGTGGGGACCATGCTTGCACCTCATATGAACTCACAACTGCTGTAGCAGAAAGTCCTAAGGAACCTCAGCTAGCATTTGGTTCCTTCTTTCTGTAGGCGGATATGAACTGGGTAGCAAATCTTTAGTATGATTCTCCTCATTGCTATTGGTCTTTTCCTGGTATCAGCTGCAGCCTTTCATAGCAGTGGCAGGCACTGCAGTACCAGATAAACTTATACAAAAGCTTTCCCTGCTGAAATTCATAATGTTGGATGGGTATGATCTCTAAGGGCATGATCTCTGTTCCTCTGCTTTTACTTGATATAGCATTAATTCTTTCACATAGTCCCAGTGCCCCAACTGGGATTGCATAATCTATGGTGGGAGAAGGTCTGTGCCTTTGCTGTGTCTTCCACAGAGCACAGTGGCATGTCTGCACCCATCTATCCTCATTTTCCAACATGGGAAACTCATCTTGGCCATTTCAAAACTCTGGGCTTATGATCTGTGTAAGAAGCTATGCCACAGGTATACTGGAACTCAGGTCTATATGATTGCTTACAAGGTTTTTCTACCCACTCTTTGAGGTTTCACCATTCAAATTTGGACAGACAATGCTACTGTGATATACTGTGTCAACAGGTATGTGGGCATAAACAAACTTTCTCATTTTGTCAAGGGACAGCACATCTTTGGAATTAGTGTGCTCCATCACACCCCTTTGGTAGGGATCCACCTATTCAGTCTACAAAAAAAAATCAAGCAAGACCTACCTTGGAATTTTCAGAGAATCAAAAATTGTCAACGACATAGTTGTCTTTGACACATCCCTTTACTTGGTTTGCCTGGCACTTTGGAGGCTTTTGCTACCCATATCAGAAATAGATATTTCATGTTTCATTCTAGAAGGGAATGTGAATCTGGTTTTTCTGCTCAACAATTTTCTCCTACCTCCATGGACATTAGAATTCTTCTATGATTTCCTCTTGATATCTGTTTTTCTCAAAAACAAATAAACAAAAATACAGAATATTGTTGGTTTAATAAAAGATATCACCTCTGTCCATGAGCCCTGATTGCAAAAATACAGAATACAGCATTGGCCCACAGATATGGCTGTCTTGCCTGATTCATCTGTTAATCTATCTGCTTTGACACTTTGCCTTTCACTATATTGTATGTAGATTTTTGAAGTTTTTGCCTGAGAGGAAGCTTCCCCTTTCCCAGGATATCACCCTAGCTCTGTGAATAAATAGAATCTGCCTTTGCACTCTTGCCAACCTGTCATCTTTCAGTGAAAACTCTAGGGATTATTAGGGGAGAAATCCAAGGTCTCATGACCAGACCTCCATACTCAGTATTTAAATAAGATCCATTGTTGTGATTTGCCACAAGATACTCTCAGATATCTTTATCTCAGCCAACCTATCCAGCTGCTAGCTCCCTGCAGCTAAAAGCCTTTTTTCTCCTCTCTGAAACTATTCACAGAAAGGGTTATCATTCACAGAAAGAATATTGTATCCAGCCCACCGGTGGTCCTGTGGACTATCCAAAGTACAGCAGTGCAGAATTTGGGTTCTCTGGACCCCGGTGGACATGACTATCAGCTGTTGCTCCCTGACTCCTCGCTGGTGCCCAAATGTAGCTCTGTGCAACCACACACCCCAATCTCCATGCTGCTGCCCAGCTAGAAATCTGCACTGTTGGGCAGCAGGTGGAACATGGGGCTTGTGATTTGCTCAAAGCCACATTCAGGCAGCAGCGTGGAATTCTGGCCAGTTGGCAGTGCGAGGGGCGTGGGTCAGCACAGCATCGAGAACCTGCACTAGCTGCTGCAAACCCCTGGGTCCTTGCCGATTCATGCCCCCCGCTCCATACTGTCCAAATGCTTGCTGCTCCACATGGCTGTGTGCAGCCACGTGACCCTAGACCCATGCTGCCTACTTCATGCTGTATTCATGTTTTCTTCTCTATTATTCCTTTGCTCAGATTTTATAATCACAAACCAGCTTTGGTAGTACTCTTGCAGTCACTCTTTTAAAGCACTCTTTTGGGAGTCTTTTTCCCATCTCCAGACTTGAACTAGGGGCTTATCCCCTGGGGTGGAATCTATGTGGACAATTGCACTTGAGGAAGAAAAAAGTTACCTACACCATGGTAACTGTGTTTCTCCTTTCAACTAATCCTGTGTCCTACAGATTTGCGATTCTTGGTGGCAAAGGAACTGGGTGACAGTTGAGTCACTGCTCCTTTTACCCTTGTTTGTAGGCATTGCAAAGACATTCAGGGCACAGGAGGAGCCACAATGGATGTTGATATTCAGAAAAAACCCAGTCTTGTATACATGCAGTATATGCACAAGTAGAGACGAACTCCTATGGAGAACTGCAGCTACTGTTGAGAGAGTAATATTTTTTTTCTATGGTTCCTGACAAGAAAATCAACTACTCTTTACTTGCCAGCCTGCAGCTTAGTAGCTGTATGATTATTTATATAATTGCTCCTAGTACTATGCGATAAATTTAAATGTAGTATCTCATAACTTGAGTGACAGAGGTGAAGAAAAGGAATATACAGGGATAAAAGTGTCTGCCCAAACTATGCAGGGAGAGATGTCAACAAGGAAACAGTCATTATGTGGGATCGACTGATAACTGGGGATTTTTGCAAGGCAAGTGGATAATATGTTAGTTGTAGCCGATTTACTACTATCAGTGTTAATTTAGACTGCTATTTTCAAAATTGTTCTTTTTTTTTAAATTGCTATATGTATCACTTCGCAGTATTTTTGATTGGAAATAGTGATTAACAGTGAGATATATAATTGTTGTGCATAAAGGTTAAACTGCTCCTGCATTGTTTTTCTGACTTACCAGTGTAGTCGTAATATTATGCAATAAAATCGGGGATCTATGTCTTTTCATCATATTTATCTTGGTGTGTTTATTGAATTCAGGTAATATATTGATATAGTTTTTATATACTTAAATGTTTTGAGTGCTTGTTCCTTTTGGTTCTTGATTCATAACATAAGGTTTAGACATTTTTATACTTATCAAAATTTGTGATGCAAAATCCTAATTATACTTCTTTATTGTAGGCAATTAACCAGAGACTTACACCAACCCAGAAATTTACACCAAAAGATCTTATTGCTGGAATGAAAGCCCTAAATGTGGAACTTGGATTAATTATCGACTTAACGTATACCACACGATACTATGAAGTTAAGGTAATATTGCAATAATAAGAGAATAATATGCTAGGTTAAATCTTATGCCTTTTATTTCATAATGTTTAGTAGCAATCTAGAACTGGAATAAACAATTGAACATTGAGTCTCCAACAAAAACTAAAAGTAGTGTATTATGTTGTATTTTTACCCCCAGCTAGTTTTCATTAGTGGCCTCGTGGAAGAGTGTTTGTTTGATCTTACCTAATGTAGTTATATTAATATTTATATAACTATAGCTCTCAGAATCACTAATCAAAACTACTGTGTAGCTACATTGTACAAATACCACAAAAAATACACCCCCTGCACTAAAGACAGATTCTTTTTTTGATGAATGCTAAATATTTTAAAGTGGAGTGTTTCTTTCACTCTTCTCTTGTTTGAGTATATTTCACAAGGTAGACATACCTTGATAAATATTTTCTAAAAAACTCACTTGTTGGCCTGTGGGGTCAGACCAACTCTCAGAATCTTAATATTGCGCTGTTAGACAGGAGGGTGTGACACAATTGCACGTATACAAACACACAAATCAGTTAGGTGCCTACACACACACACTACCAGCTCAGGCACATACACATCCAAACCAGCCTAGACACGTGCGTACCTATCACCAATTCAAGCACATACACTATACACCCCAAAAGTTAGACATGGATCACTAATTCGTATATCATGCACACAATGACATGTATGTGTGTATATGTATGTGTATACACACTCACCAGTTTACACGCATACAACCCACCTAAACATACACACAGGTAAGTTCCTAACTTGGATGGTACAGTGTGTATGTGTGTGCTTGGGGTACCTGGGATACTTGGGGGAAGGTTCAGGTGAACTAGAGAGAGTTAGAGTGTAGGGAGTGAAAGTTGCCAGAACCGGGATTAGAACTGATGGACTACAGAGAAGCTGGCTGAGGAACTGAGGCTTGGGTTTACTTAAGGTAGAGTGGGGCTGGAAACTGAGGCAGACAGCTGAGCTATTGGGAGGGGCAGATAAGTGGTGGCAAGGAGGAGATAGCCAGGAAAGAAACTGAGGCAGAAACCTGGTTGCTCAGTGGAAAAGGAAAAGGCACTAGGGATAAGACAGTGGCAAAGGGTTGGAAGAGAAGCAGAATCCAAGTCCTTGGTTGAAGAGGGGGTGGAAAGGGGTCTTTGTCCAGCAGGTGTTGCCCAGAGGGGGGTCACCGGCAGGGCCTCTGGGTGGATAGGTGGTATGACATGGTGCTAGTCCAGATGGAGCGGGCGTCCCCCTGGGTCTGTCTTCACTGCCCCTTTTTATAGGGGCAGACCCTGTGTGGCCCTAGTGACAGGAGGCATGCCCAGGCAAGGGTCAGCCCCTGGTGTACTGAGCCTGTGTGCTCCATGCAGGGATGTGCAGTTTTGGGTGTCTATAATGGTGGGATACAATGGTAGAGTTGCTGGTTCTGCCGGGTCTTTTGTCTTTCAAATGCTGGGTTCTTGTCTCTGTCCTGGGTGAGGTCTGTGGTTCTTGGATGAATCAATGCGAGGTGATGGCCCGGTCGTTACAGGCCATTCAGTAGAGGCCTGCTACCATTGTATTTCAGTCATTCCCAATCACCCTTATTCATCTGGGAACCAATTTACATGAGAGGGGTACATGAATCATACAGTTGCAACACAGGGGATGCCCAGGGAAGAGGACACAAAATGAAGGCTTGATATACAAAGTGGAAACTTGACATGACTTATGCTACTTACATATATAGGCCTAAAACAGTAATCACACAATATAAAAGCAGTACAAACATAATAATTATCACTTAGAAAACAGTAGGTATCGTTATCAAAATAGCAGGGAACTTATTTGCAAAGAGGGGAGAGAAAAATAAAACTTACTACCTAAAATAATATGTTAAAGCTTATCCTACATCTTAGCTTACTTATACTTATCTATAGGGAATAGAGAGGGCGAGAAAGTCAGAAATGGTTGGGGAAGGGGAGGGAATGCATTTTAAAATAAAGAAACAAAGAAAAACTGGGGGTTTTGCTACACGCTTTGAAATTTGTTACCTGTTAATATTGAATGTCCTCTTAATGTATTTTTGAGGTAGAGTAGCTAGGAACGTTGTTACTATAGGTTAATTCTGAAAGGTCTATATTCTAAAAAAAATATGGGTGACAGGCCTGAAGTGTGATAGTATTTGTGAAAACTATTAGACTGTTAGTCTAAACTTTACTGCTTAGTCCAACCCATGTGCCTTTACCCTTACCAGGAGGTACTAACAAAGTAGCTTGTTCCCTAATGCGAGCCTTGATCATTTTGCTTCTGCCAGTATAGGTAATCTTACAAGGGGTGGCCTTACTGTCGCTCACAAGTTGCATGTGGTCCCTCGGGCAGTTTAAATTGTCCTGAAGAAAGAAGTAATTGGAGAGAGAAATAATGTTCTTATTTAGCTGTTGATTTTTTTTTAAGTTCTTGATTATTGTTTATTCTAAGAAGTTACTTAACAGCAATTTTTTATTTGAGCTGGGATGCTGTGCACATATCATTGAGGTATGTATGTCTCAAGTTGTGTCCTGTAACTCTCAGTTGTGCCAATATTATGGGTTACGGCTAGAAGAGTTAGGAAAGTTGGCTACCCTTGCCTTTTTATAATTGTGAAATGATGGTTTTCAGTTGCTATAGGTATGTGTTTGAACCATCAGTATTTCTAAATATATAAGTCTCTCTTTTATGGTGGTGATTTAATGATTGTTGTAATTTTTTCTCTCTGTTGCTAGGATTTACCTAAAAGTGTGCAGTATAAGAAACTTTATACTGTTGGACTTGAAGTCCCCGATAATGCTACTATTCTACAATTCAAAAAATGGGTCAGAAAGTTTCTTTGGGAAAATGCAGGAAATGGTAATTAACATTTTTAATGTTATAAAGGCCAAAATATTGTTTCAGTATCAACTATATGATTTATTAATCACAACAGATGTTCAGTTCTGTAAATCAGGTTTCATATATTTTTCTCATAGTATGGTCCAGTTTTTTACCTCACATTTTGGGAACTACCTTCCATCCCTTTTGTAATTATGGTATCCCTTTATCAATTACTGCATTGTTTACATGGACTACCTTCCTAGAAGTGGTATATTTTTATTTATATTTAATGTGATGTAACAGGTGCAAACAAGATGATCTAGGACCAGGTGACCAGCTGAAGGTTCACAGACCCACTGATGGTCCATAAACTACAGTTTGGGAGCTACTAGAATTGTTCTGCATATGCTATGCAAGACTTTCTTGTAGTTTGAAGAATCAAGTACTACTTTTCTTTACTTTGCCCGTTCATTGTCATTAGTAAGGTTTATCATTAGGGCTGTGCGAGATTTTGCCGGCCATTTCATTTTGATGCTGTTTTGATCAGTTTTGAGGTTGAAACAGCAAAATTGGAATGAAAAAAAGGCTGTTGAAATAACCTTGAAACAAAACGAGGCTGGTCAAAATGTTTCGACCATAGGCTGGGGATGGGAAGTCAGTGCAGCTGGGCTGACTTCCCATCCCCAGGGCAAGATCTGGCAGGGGCCGGCAAGGCAGCGCAGCTGGGCTGACTTGCCATTCCTGGCAAAACTTGAAACAGCATTGAAACAGCCTTTCTGTTTCAGCGGAACAGAACAGCTGTTTCGACGCTAAATGAAATTCGATGCGAAACACTGTTGCATCAAAACTCGAGGCAAAACGGAACAGTGCTGTTTCGCACAGCTCTACTCATCACCTTATTGCAGACGGTGGGCTGGCTAAACATCATCTCTTGTTGAATCAATGCTGGTTGTTCCTTCTTACCATGTTATCCCCCAGGTGCTTAGAAATAGATTCCT